GGAGTCCTCACCCCTGCACCAGCAATGCGACCATAGACTGGAGGCCTCAACAGGAGATAGGAAGCCTAACTACGTTCTTATTGAGGCTAGCATCCAAGAAGGCTCAAGAGAGCCTAACATGAAGAGCCAACTGGCCCGCGAAGCTCTGCAGAGTGGAGGCCTAAATATAACACCTCTCAATAAGAGACGGCCTAGCAGCACTCCATACTACCTAGCCAATACCTAGCCGAGCTCTAGGAGCGAAGGCCTCAGCATGACGACTCTCTAAAACGAGAGGAGGCCTAACTACGCCCCAAGCTCAGGACATCCTGTAAGGAGGCTCACAGAGAGCTTACAACTCACAGATGTTGCGGAGCTCTGGTGAGTGGAGACCTCAAAGAAGATAAAAGACCTCCTCTTTGTATCGAGAGGAGGCCTGATGATGCTTGCAGAAGATGGCCGAGCTCTAGGAGTGGAGGCCTCAACATGATGACTCTCAAATGAGAGGAGGCCTAACTACGTCTCACAGTAAGTACATCCTGTAAGGAGGCTCACAGAGAGCCGCCCCATGCTCAGGCCATCCTATAAGGAGGCTCACAGAGAGCCTACAACTCACAGATGCTGCCCTAGCGGAGCTCTGACGAGTGGAGGCCTCAAAGAAATAACTCTCTGTAGCAAGAGGAGGCCTGATGATACTCACAGTAGATGACCGAGCTCTAGGAGCAGAGGCCTCAGCATGACGACTCTCTAAAACAAGAGGAGGCCTAACAACGCCCCATGCTCAGGACAACTTGTAAGGAGGCTCACAGAGAGCCTACAACTCACAGATGCTGCCCTAGTGGAGCTCTGGTGAGCGGAGGCCTCAATGAAATAACTCTCTGTAGCGAGAGGAAGCCTGACGACACTCGCCTCCACCCCATACTCAGGATGTTTGCAGAGCAAAGGCAGTAAAGGAGACTCACAGAGAGCCTACTACTTAGTAAACTGTCCGAAATAGATGACGCGTTCACAACCAGCCTCTAATGCCGAATGCTGCCGACGCAGCATAGAGTTCCCACTCGAGAGGGAACTATGTTTTTGCGACTGGATAACCAGTGTCTTGCTAGTAAAGTTTTGATGGATGAAGACTGCAATCAAGGTTAAGGTGATTGCGGTGGCGTACAGGAATTGTACAGTAAGCACGCGTGAGTCCATTATATTAATGCGTGTATGAGTGCTCTTGACGCACTGATCACTGATCGCACATTGTATTTATGCACAGGCACAGACATTTCCGTACATTCACGTTGTTTCCACACACATTCAAGAGCACGTATTTATTGGCTGCTGTCCCTTTAAAACCGACTGCACGGATCCAGTATAATGATACACATCCGATTTCTTTCTCAGCTGTTTACATTCATTTAAAACATAACCGACTGCGTTTACGAGAATGATCGTCGAGACGGGTACTATTGACATAATTCTGTGTGTATGTGTCTGTTCAAAAATGAGGAGATGCAAAAGACGAATCAACTCGGTGTTCGCGTGCCGTCTGAAACGCGTCTCTGTGTGTGTGCACGCGCTTTGCACATGTGCGGCAGAACGGAAGATATGTTGTGCGAGATGCGGCTTGTGTGCGCGCTTCAGGTGTGAGTCTGTCAGACAGCAAGACGAGACGGCAAAGAGTTGTTTTCTGCAACTTATTGCACAACTCTTTTTAACGTCAAGCAATTATCTGCTATATGCGTCGAACTAAAACTTTGACCTTTTGCAACGTTTTGATTTAAGTAGCCTATTATTAAAATGATTAAGATATCGCACGTCCTTGCGATATGCATATTGTGATATTTACATTTGCGATATTTCGATAATTTCGATATATCGTGCAGCCCTACTGTTTAGTTATTCTGAATGGATCCGTGTACTGTAGTAGATGTATGCAGTCAGCCGTCGGTTGGTTTAGGGTCTTTTTGACATTACCATGAGGTCCTGTTCGGTATCGCAACTTGACTTCTCTAAAATGTAAAAAAGCTTTTGGAATTTTGGAGTTCTTTTGGTGTCATTCTGAGCTTGCAGAAAATACAGTTTTTTGAGAATCACCCTTCAATCTTTTGGTTTACTTTGCTGAAAAAATATAGCAAATGATGACAAAATAAACATTTGAAACAAGATAAATGGTCTATGCTTAATTTCATGAAGTGTGCGATTAATTGCGATTAATCACAGAAAAAGGGTGGGATTAATTAGATAAAACATTTTTTATCTATTGACAGCCCTAATATAAAGCCAACTTACCTCTGTCTCACAACAGTTTTCTGGAATCCCTCCTCCACCCCAACTCCTCACTCTTAACTATTCTCATCCCAGATTAGGGATAGCTCTGAGCCCTCACTCAGGACAGCACTCCAAATATACTTACTATTTGCTCAATCCAATTATATGTAAGTGCGAACTCATGAAATTAAGTTTTTGTTGTTGAGTTTTAAAAGAATAGTTGACCCAAAAGTGAAAATTTTATACATTTTATCACTCTCAGGCCATCCAAGATGTAGATGTGTTTGTTTCTTCATCAGAACAGATTTGGAGAAATTTAGCATTGCATCACTTGCTCACCAATGGATCCTCTGCAGTGAATGGGTGCCGTCAGAATGAGAGTCCAAACAGCTGATAAAAACATCACAATAATCTACATTTACAGTAATCCACACGACTGCAGTCCATCAGTTAATCTCTTGTAAACGAAAATCTGCATGTTTGTAATAAACACATGCAGCATTAAGATGTTTTTAACCTCTATCCATGTTATTGCTTTCTCCAGTGAAAAAGTCATCTCGTCTGAATTAGGAGAGAAATATGCACAGATCAAGCACCATTTAAAAGCTAATGCAGGTCAGTTCTAAACAAATATGTTGGTTGATTTTGATGTGAGAGGACAACAGGGCATGGACTTTTTCCACTAGGAAGCATTATTATGTATTATGGACTCATATTTTGTCCAGAAGCAATCTTTATTTTTTGGGGTGAACTATTCCTTTAATTAGTCCTTTCAAATCTCTTAAAGCAAAACTTAGTTTTTGTGCATTTTCTTGTTTGGTCTAGTCTATAGGTCTATAAGGTCTATAATATCAATGAATTACACATATTTTGCAGTAAGGTTTTTATATTACAATACATTTCATGAACTAACATAATTTGACTATGATGAACAAAATCAGGGTAGTAACCTCAGGTTAGTTTCTCATTTTCAGGTGTCTTTTTTTCTATACTAAGACTGAGATTACAATATCTCTGCATCATCTTAATGTGGACTTGCGTACAATCAGGGCCGTCCTTAGCGGGGTGCAACTGGTGCGGTAGCACCGGGCCCGTGCTTGAGGGGGCCCCGCGGTGAACCGGGACGCCATCGCGAAAGGACTGAGGGGGGCCCCGCTCCCTACCTCGCACCGGGCCCCGCATCAGCTAAGGACGACCCTGCGTACAATAGTATGGAAATGTGACGGTAGTTGCATAAGAGAGTCTTCTCTTCTCTGGCTGTGTATTATTAAAATGATTAAAGCAGACAAGGTGCTGTGCAGGAATGCTGACAGCCCAGGACGTTTCTGAATGGTAGCGAGATGAATGGAAGGTTCCGTCACTCTCTTCCTGTCTGTCCCAGATACTTCCAAACTTTCACTGCATTGCTGTGAGGCACAGATTAAGAGCTCCATCCCCTCCTCTCTCCCTCTTTCTCGCCCCCATCATCTCTCTCCATCCTGCCATCCTAAATGACTGCTTGCTGATAGAAATGTTGCATTTTACAGAATTTTGCACTTAGTATTAAAAATGCTGTGTTGACTAAATTGTATGTGAACGGAAAGATGTGCGAAAATGGTAGCAGGTCTGGCCATTCGGTAGAAATAGCACACAAACTAATATAGCAAAGTAATACAGACCATTACAGGCAGTTTTAATTGTGATGTACTGTGATGTAGCATAGCGTTTTTTAAATAGTTTTGCTTTAGTATCCAGATTACAATCTGACACAAATTGATGACCAAACATAGTATTAGTAAATGGATTATTGTAGAAAAAGTTAACAAAAATGTCCTTGAAATAAAACATAGACATTTCTTTTATTAAATGTTATGAAATATAAGATCTTTATTTGGTTTTTGGATTAAGATTGTTATTATTTATATTGTTAACCCTATAATTTTGTATGACCTGCATTTACTGTAAGATCATGGATCATGTCTTCTGTTATCTGGCATTGTTTTGTTCATGGTTTATGAGTATGAATGAATGAATAAATGGCACTCAACCATGTTGGCATTTGCATTTTGTTTTTCCTTTCATATGATTAAGATGCATTCTGCTGTCATGCTCATGTGAGTTTCGCAAGTTCCAGCTTGCAGTGGAACAGTTTTTTTTAAATTTTTTTTTATGTTAGGCATAAATTTCACAATTATTTTAACTTCTAACAACTATTTCCCAATACAATAATACAAATAAACTTAATTGAATGATTTAAATATATTCATAATTAATTACTTTTAATATATTTTTATACTAAAGTTGAATAAAAAATAGTTAAATATTTCTGTAATCTTACATAACTTTCATGAATTATTTATTTATTTATTTATATATTTATTTTGTTGTGATCTCTGCAATATTATTATATTTGGAGGGAGAGCAAGTAGATTAGTGAGCCTAACATCTGGAAAATGTTTCCTTATGAATGGATTTAGCAAATTGATGGGATAATGGGACACACCTCATGAAACTGGGATTTCTGTTCTCCTATCCTGATATTTAAAACATTCACTCCATTGTAAGACGAAGAGAGCCATTAATGACTTTGAATAAAGTCTCATTGGTTATCATGTCAGACTGAATTAAATTGAATGAAATGGACTTGTATTCCAAATGTTGCCCTATTATGTAAGCCACTAAAGCTTATCATAATTCAATGGTATTCTTTTGAAATGGGTTTTCTAGAAACAGGATAGGCAGCCACACGCTTCCCATTGACTTGCCATGTCTCTGTGTTTGTTTAGCCTTGGAGTCACCTCCCTTCTTCTGGTATTACTGGTTCTAGCTTTCCGTGAGCTGTCAGAGGTTTATCATTCTGCATATGAGTGTTTGTGCTCCAGCGAGTGGAGTTCATGCTTGTTTGGTCTGACTGTATTAGTGCAGGTCAGAGGAACAACAGCGTGAGAGGACGAGGATATCAAAGGTAAGTGGATCTGTCTGTTTTGCATTTTGTGCATTTCGTGGAACTGTTATTTTACTGTATTTTACTGCTTACTATACAGAAAGTGTCACTTTTGGTGTAATTTCTTCCTTTATATTAAAAGTGTGCTATAAAACTTATGGTATGTCAATGTAACTTTGGAATTTTGGAAGCAAACAAGCACATGCTGTTTATACTAATAGGGAAAGAATGTAAAAGGTAAACAAAAAAACGTTTGAAAGCTGACATAGAAATCATTTGCATGTTTCAACATGCAAATCACATGTTCATGCACATACACACATGTGTGCCTTTCAACACCTCTCTGTATCAGAAGGAATGCAGTTAAAGTTTGAACTACATGCAGGATTCGTGACTGATTTGCTTTGTCATCTGATGAACAGTAGCTGTAAGGTCTGCTAATTACTTTTGATTTGTTTGCATTTGTGTGCATACAGTAGCCTCAAACAGTAGCCTTTTTTTAGCCAATCCTATAATATAAGTTTGCTTATCATATATATATGCATTGCAATGCCATTCATATACGGTACTATACTATACTATACTACCGTTCAAAAGTTCAGTACGATTTAAAATAAATAAATTATAATTAATAATTTTGTTCAGCAAAGATGCATTAAATTGATAAAAAGTGACAGTAAAGACATTTATAATGTTACAAAAGATTTCAGTTTCAAATGAATGCTGTTCTTTTGAACTTTCTATTCAACATGTTTCTTAAGCTGTAAAATCAGCATATTAGAATCATTTCTGAAGGATCATGTGACACTGAAAACTAGTGTAATGATGCTGAAAATCCAGCTTTGCATCACAGGAATAAATTACATTTTAAGATATATTCAAATAGAAAACCGTTATTTTAAATTGTAAAAATATTTCACATTCTTACTGTTTTACTGTATTTTTGATCAAATAAATGCAGCCTGTGTGAACAAACTTTAACACTTTAAAAAACTGCCCCCAATCTTTTGAACAGTAGTGTGCATTTTTAATTGTAGCTTGTTCATATATAGTAGTGAAAAACAGAAAGAAAGAAAATGGGAGAGAGAGAGTGGGAATGTGTGTATGGGTTGTGACTTGTCCAAAAGCTTCAAAATTTTTACACGCAAAACCCGCCAACATGAATAACTGCAACATGACGAATCTCACAAAATTGTGAGAAATTTCATATGTGACAGGTGTCCTAAAGTAACTCTAACACTGCGGTTGTAAGACTTACGTACAGGTCATCTGAGGGCCGACATACCTGCTTCTAATTACAGGTGCTGTTATGTTGTGACATCTAATGAATGAATGTTTCTGTGTCAGGGCTTAGTTGTCGATTGTCTTTACCTCCTCTCTGGCGTTTTTAAAGCTTTGTTAGTGTTGTTTAAATATTTTAATGATGTTGTAAAACCTCCAGTGTAAAGATAATGAGTTACGTTTGTAGTATTGTGAATCATGATGAATGAATGAGTATGTTTGCTCCAGACAAAGGTCAGAAGGCAGCTGTCACAGCAGGCTGGGGTTTTGTTTGCAGTGACACTGGCGTGCTATGAACATGTTGAAGTTGACAAATCTTTGGAATTCAGAAGCAGTGTCCTGGTACAATATAATTTGTCTGTCTGTCTGTCTGTCTATCTATCACTGTTCAATTAAAGTGTAATTGCTAAATAAAAGTGTTTAAAAAGTATTACAATTGTTAAATTCTAAATGAATTAATCATTTGAATCATTCACTTAACCAATTTGTTAAAGAACTCTGAATCATTTACAATGTGTGATGCAACATTTCCACTGTGAACAATCTTCATCGCAAAAACAAAGTAACTGGCAATTTTGTGGCTAAAACATAAGTAACATTTGTTTATTGAACTGTTCTAGAAAAGCAACCTCACACAATTGTTTCCCCTCCTTGTTACTCCAACAACTTTTGTCATCGTTGCTAGTTCTAAGGTGCATTTCTGTATAATGTTTACATTGCAGTGTACACATTATATGCAAAACATATAGAACTTTGTGTCCATTGTCTACACTTTGCTTGCTTTGTGTGTATATGTCCCAGTCTGGGATCATGTGTTGTTTCATTATGTATGTTCAGCTGTACTGAGACATTCTGTAAAGTGAGTATGTCCTTCACTCTGTTATTAAGGCTATGTTTGTACTTTCTATATGCCATATGGTGGTAGAAAGCATTAAGTACAATAGGCAGGCCAAACAGACCACAAAATGACACAAAGCACTAAAGAAAAATTATTCTACTCCACTCGTTAGTCATCAAATTGAGTATAAACATAAAAATTGTCTCATATGATTGTGACTTTCAACACATGCTGTGTTTTATCAACAAGCAATTGTGTTTTGTCTCAGCACAATGCAATCGGCGTTCATCTGCCGACCCTATAAGACAGCATTAGGAATTAAGACAATAGTCTTCTTTATACTAAGAGGATTTTCACTGTTGACACGCTGCCTGCTACTATCACTAATCAAAGCAGGTTCCTACTTGACTGCTCATCAAATCACACTCTTTTGTTTACGAATGATTATAGGAGGAAAACATTTCAAGGTTTGTTTTTTCAGTCAAATAGCTCAGTGGCAAAGTCTCTCCAGACTGCTGTGTTTTCATGTCAAGGTTGTTCGGATGCGTTGAGTTGTGTAGGCAAGAATTCCAGCACTTTCCGGACTATTCTTTAATGGTTTGTGAATAACTTGGCAGGTCAGGCTTTATTTGAATCTTTGTCAAAGGTTTAGCGAACCTCCTATCCCAGTGAGAGGCTTTGACGACATATGTCTCCTTACTGGATCCCATTTAGTGCTTTGCTGGAGTGCCGGGGCATGTTTTCAGACTCTCTCTCTCTCGCTCTCTCTCTCTCTCTGTGTGTGTAGGAATTTGAAGAGCATGCTGAGAGTTTGGATGCTCAGTCTGAATGCTGTATAATACTATCACCGCCACCTCTGGGAATTACTGTCTTGACTGCATATGTGTGAGTGTGTACTTGTAAGTAAGCAGCGTTTCCTTGTTCTGTTTAGTTGGCTGTTTGTTTAACAGTTAAAGTGTGTGGTGACAGTGAATCAAATGAGAAAGGTGTACCTTTAAGCCTCAGCAGTTTTCTCTGATGTTAGTCTGTGATAACTTTCTGTATTCATCCTCTAGGATTAATGGATGAAAAATTCAGCCATGTGCTTCAGTGAGTTTGTCTTACTCAGCTTCATTGTTTGATTAACTTGCTGCACATGTTGTTTTTAATTTGTTCATTTGAAATAGATCCGTAAATAATTACAATATGATTTGAAGTGGATGCATTTGGTTCATTTATGAGTGCTGTTGCTCTAAATGCGCCATTTGTTTGCTAGAGTTAAAGATCGCACTGGTTTAGTGTTTCTGAATGATGTATGAGATGCATCAGGCTTGCAGAGGTCACCACACTACATCTCTTTAAGATACAGATTCAAAGGGCAGAAGGTTGCAGTTGACTAGCTACAACATGTGAAAACAACAGGCTCTCTAAATATATTGAGTATATAAAAAGTTTTTTGTTTTTTTAATTTCGGAAGATTAATATATTACATTTCGTGTACAAAAAGAAACTGTACAGTTACAATAAGTTTGTTGTGATTAAATTATGAAAACATAAAGGCTCCTGCAGATGTAAATTCTTTTAGTTAAAGCAATACATATTTTTTCAGCAACACTAAATATGAAATAGGGCTAAATTAAATTGAGTATTATCCCTTTTGGACACATTTACATAGCTCTGGAGATGAACAGTATCACTGCATGTTTGAAACATGGCCTCTACTGCTTGATACCATTACGTGAGACATATCGTGACAAACCCTGTCCTTACCAAACGGTTTACAGTCCTTAGACTTGTTTCTGTATAGAGAAGAGGAGTGATATCAGCTTTGGCCTGGCCCACTTTGGCCTTTGCTCTTACTTTTACAGCTCAAGGAGCTTTAGTAACTGAGTACTCTGTTCAATAAATAACCAAAGACATACTGCACAAGAAATGTAAAGCACTAATGAATACATTAATGGAAGTAGTTTACACAATTCTTATCCTTCCTAAACGGTACAATCTGTAGGCTGTTCTGGGCTTTATTCTTTGTGAAATATGTCTTGCATGCTGCTCTATTGTATAATGCAGGGTTTCCCAAACGAGGGTGAGTTAATGAAAACTTAATTATAATTAAATGCAACATTAACATTTAAGCAGTCATGAAATGCAGTTTCAGATTTTTCTCGAGGTTAGTTTATAAAGTGTGCAGTTTTTTGCACCAAAAAGGTCCAATATTTGTCAAAATGATCATTCATCATATCCACACCTTCCTTTACAGCATGTTGTGCATTTTGATACTCAACACGGCAAGTGCTGTTATAGAGCCATGAATGTTTAAGCTGGAGTCATAAGAAACTGAAACAGCACAACACACTTCAGCATCAGTTTCAGCATGGTAATTGTTTTTGCTTAATTTTCAGTATATAGTATTAAAAGTGCTGTTATTACTGTCATATTGCATTAGAGGCTGCATGTACACAGGTATGTACTGATTTTATTATCAACACTCAAACTATTTGCTTGGAAGGAAGGCTGTGCAAAGTTTTTGGAGGTGCAGTTTCTTTACTTCAACTGACAGAACTACGTCTCAAATTTGACTGTCTAACTCGACGTCTTTATCCAACAGCAGTATCGCTCTTCTTGTGATTGTTGTACAGACATGATTTGGTCAGAATGCACCTCACTGATTACATATGGTAATGATTTCATGATTCTCCCGATTTCAACTTCAGGTATTTCAGAAGGGTAGAAAAGAATAGTTCATATTTTAAACTGGGGAGTTCTGAAACTTGCAGTATGTTTTTATTGAAGAGTAACCTCTTATATGTGTAAATATCAAGAACATTTGGATCCTCTTTGAATTCTTGACCTCTCCAATGGAAATAAAACTGAAATAGTGAAATATATCTTATCAAATTGTGATTATCAAAGCCTGCAATTT